GGGGGGGGGGGGGTCTTCCAGCAAGACAAGAACCCTAAGCTGCTTCAAGAAGGAGAAGAGTGCCCTAGCCAGTCCCTGGACCTTAATCCCATAGAAAACCTATGGAGGGAACTCAAGCTTCATGTGTCCAAGTGACGGCCTAAAAACCATAAAGATTTGGAGGAGATCTGCCAAGAGGAGTGGATGAAAATTCCTGCTGAGCTGTGTGCAAACCTGGTGACCAGCTACAGGAAACATCTGATAGTTGTGCTTGCCAACAATGGTTACTCCAAGTACTAAAGCATGTGTTCCAAGGGATCAAATACTTATTTCCCTGAATAAATGACAAATTGGTTTGTAACAGCTACATAATGATTTTTCTTGCTTGTTTTGTTGATCTATCTACCTACCAGTGAAGTTATAGAGTTAAGGTTTTTTAGAATAACATTGCCCAATTCCATACAATATTCACCTATTTCTGTCTAAAAGCCTGTATAAGGCCAAGAATCCATATTGCCAGGTTCCGAGCTCACCTGTCACATTGACTGTTCGTGGCCACAAGTCCGTCATCAATGGAATCAGTGTTTCATCATAGGTGAAGGATTCATTTAAAAGCACAGTACCTCCCTCCATTTGCAAAGACACGGGAAGGGTCCCAGCTGCCCCCTTAAAAAGAACCAGGTAGTCTGGAATAACTCACAGAGTCTGGAATAACTCACAGAGTCTGGAATAACTCACAGTCCAGCATGGTCACAGCATGTGCTTTGCTGCGTCATGGTTTCATCTGTTTAAGTGCTTGTCGTGCTCACCGGTGGTGTTATGCACATCAGCTGTTCCAGGAAGACTGAGACAACAGTGCAACTTCTTGTGCCAATCATGACGACGATTCCCTCAGCAAATCCAAAGCCCAACACAGTAAGCAGTGTGCCCCCTTCAGAACAGGGAAGTGTCCAGCATTAGAAAGAGTGAGCAATGGCTACTTATCAATACTTCCCTTTCATCCATGGCAAATCTTTCTGTTCCAAGGTATACCTTCTATACTCCCGGAAGATGGTGAGATGGAGGAGACTCCCATCTGATTGGTAAAATTGAATGAGTTCCTTCCTATGTGCTGTGCATTGCCCAGGGAGGAGAAGCTCAGGAAGACAGGGTGCGTTCCTGCACTGGCTTGGCCAACTTTGCAGGTCAGCATAACGCCTGCAAAATAAGAGCACAATGCACTGCAAATCAGTCCTTATAACTGTCTCAGTCTGTCCTGGTCAATAAAAATGACTGGTGACATTTTACCTTCATAATGCATTATAAAATAAACACAGCTATAACTATTTATAAAAAGGCAAAGCACATTATAGCCATGTGTATTATGCATTATGAATGCTCTATGGAGCTCTCATGTTTAGTGAACTATAAATAGTTTCATAATACATTATAATGGCTTATTTTGACCATTATAATGCAATATGAAGGTATGTATAATGCATTATGATGACTAGTTTAAGTGAAATGTTACCAGATTATCTTTGCTGGCAGTGAATTTCTGACTGTGCACACTGCACTGGTCAAATAGATATGAATGTTTGAGTTTTTCACTTACTGCTCAAATGCAGAACAGAACATTCCACATCTCCCACCAATACTGTGACATTTTCACTGGCAAATCCTGACCCAGAAATGGTGATGATGGTGCCTAGAGCATAAGAACCTACCAAAACACACATGAAATGATCATTTTTCTTCTGAAACTGAGGCCTTCCAGCTTCTTAAAAGATCATTCTCAAGTATGTTACTACAGTAATGAAACATAGCAGAATTGTCACTCTGGGTGGTCTGCTTGCCTTCACCGGGACTGATCCCTGTCATTTTTGGTGTGTTTGAGTCCAGCCACTCAAACCCACAGTCACCGGAGCATTTTGATGGAATTCTGTTGATCAAGACTTGTACCTAAAAAAGGACACAGGCAGGATTCCTACATGTACTGCTCACCAGTCACTGACGCGGCCATCCTCACAAACTCTCCATAAATCATACAGTTCTGAATCATTTACCTTATATTGGTAGGCAGACAAGAATCAAATATATGGAAGTACATTAATGAAAAAAATCTAAATAAAAAAGTATTGATGATGCTTGAATTTTGGGGGGGCTGTAATTTAATGTGAATGTTTATTTAAACACTAAATTTCAACTGAAAACATTTCAATTGTGATTTCATTGTTAAAATGATACAAAATATTCTGCTTCCACAATTCAGTTCCAAAATATACCATTTTCAAATCGCATCTTTATAATTCAGTTACCTGAATTCAGTTCATTTACTTTCGCCTCCAAATACATTTAAAAAGAACAAATTCAACTGGAAACATTCTATGTGTTTTAATCACAGCTACATTATGAAAAATGGTAATATTCAGTCCTATTATATTTGCTTTACAAATATGCTGTTACAGTTTCCATGGTTTAAAATATGGTTCAAATTTCAACCTCAACTCTGCATCCAGGATTGGCAGGAGTCTTTCAGTGCTGGTACAGTTCTCGTCTGGATTATGTAGCATTTACAGGACAGAAGAGTTTCTTTGGTTGTGTCATCACAGATGGAATATGTATGGTATATTTTTGAGTTGATCCATTTATCGAATGTTTTCAGCTGAAATATTCAGTGTTTACATGTATATTTACATTAAATTATAGCCCCCCAAAATTCGAGTATTATGAATGCAATGGATTTTTATTCAATTAGTGTAATGAAACATTTTCTGGTGACCTTAAGAAAGAACAGTAGAGTACAAAGCTTACAAATAACAGAATGTCTTCCTAAGAGAACAAAATAATTAAAACAAAAGCAAAAACACAGTGACTGAAGAATATCTACTCTACTAAGAAAAATTTACTTTTCATACCTGGGGTCTGTCTTCCGGCACTCTCAAAAAGTCTCCCATAATCCTTGATTTGAATAAGCCTCCTTTAGTCTGAACAAATGCTGTAACTTTGGGATTAACTCCCTTAACAGATGAACTGTTGATCTTTGGAGGAGCACAGAGTTGACATCAAGGAAACAAAGACGAATGTGTTATTTAGTTATTAATGCACAATCAAATGTGTTATACAGTAAGGACACAAAGGAAAATCAAGGTGTAGAAGCAACCACTGACCAACCTGAATGAGTGGCTGGCTCCCCGGGTTGGACCGCCATTCCACCTGCCAGTCATAGCTATGGCAGCTTCCAGAATGAGTCACTTGCAGCTGTCCAGCCGCTGGTACCCCCTGCATTGCATACCTGAGGTCCTCTGCCGTCACGTCGACAGCCAGACCTGGACAGAGGGTGCTCATTCATAATCTGCATTGTGCTACATTTAATATTACATGGGTTAAAACACTGATTATTATGTAATTCCTAGTAATGGCGATTTCTGCCATTTTAGGCTGATTTGAGACTGTTTAGAGCATAGCAATCAACTTGCAAATTTCCTAATTTGCTGCATTCCACACTGCAGAGTGATAAACTTCTTTACCTTGCAAGCGATTGCCATTGATCTCCAAGTCAAAAGTTCCTGACAGTGGAGGGCTTGCCCTTGAAAGTCTGGTCACAGTGACACTTGCATTTCCATCCTCAAATTTAGCCATATCTTCACTGTGATTGGTGACCTTTTTCAGGGCAGATGCTGAGCGTGAATGGGCTGTAGTCTCACTAAACGCAGTAGTGCCTTATCTGGCAAATATAACCAGTTAACGATTGCTACATGCTGATATGTCTGTTTACTCACCTGGAGGAACTCAGCAGCTAGTAGGGGAACGTTATGGCCACAGTTGAAGGGAGCAGCTGTGATCTCATAGCTTATATGTGAGGTTTGCATGCTCTGGAGTTTGTGCACTGATACCCACTGGAGGAAAAGGCCCTGGCGAGCCAAAGCTGGAGGTCTTCGCATTGCTGTAACAGCTGTAGGAGACCAAGAAATATTGACATCAAGAGTGAATTTAGTGTTACTTATTATAGTATCGATTTCCAAGTTTTGCGCAATCAGTTATAATTTTTACTTTCGATCAATATTTGACGTTCAGTTAGACGTTAGTCTGAATTTAATGTATATATGAACTACAGACGCTCCTCTTCTTACAAACTTGCAATTTACGAACTTTCAAAGATACGAACGAAGAGGACTGTAAGTCCAAATTGTGTTCCTTAGGCTCCCGTTTCCTGTCTGCAACATCAATTTTTCTTTCTGCGCGCCAATTCCGCCTAATACGACGCAGCAGCGTAGCTTGCAAATATATAAATAAATAAATAATAATAATAAAAAAATTATGTTGAATAACGACTTATGAACATTTCAAGTTACGAACGGCTGTTTAGAACATAACTCATTCGTAAGTAGAGGAGTGTCTCTACGTCGCTCAGATAAAGTTATTGCTAGAAAAACACTTGTGTACCATTGCTATCTGACACTAGCGGCCTTTTCCCAATGTAAACAACATCCACATAGAAATTCTGATTGGCTCCTTCACTGAACAGACGTAGGCTGATAAGGTTGTAGTCGCTCCCTGGGTATGCCATTTGCAGTGGGCTCAGCAAGTCAACACAGATGTAATTCCATCTACAATGACAGAAACTGGGTCCTTAATCAACATTCCATTTAAGTATTTAAAAACCTTAAAATTAACATAATTATGACTAAGTATGTGTTGTTTTATTTTAGATATAACTTACGTTTCCCCTCCTTGAATGTCTGCTGGGAGCATATATATTAACTGGTTTTGGCCATTGCTGTTTACATATGTAAACTCTACTCCAATCTCCCTTTTCAGCTGTCCTTTGTAGGCAAAGCAGAGCTGTGGAAAAAAAGCAGTAGAATGTGGTTGCATCATTTTTATATGTGTTCTGCAATAAGGAATTTCTAGCAAGTATCTTGTACAGGAGACTTCCACCCAAAAAATAAATATTTTCATCAGCATAAAATGTTACGTAAAACCAAAGGTTTGTGTATTAAAGGTACATAAAAAACTGATGATTCTCCTGGAATATTGTTAGGATGCACTGACAGCCCGGGTTTGGTAAGGTGTAGGGTTTTATTTCATTTTCCTGGGGGTGAAAGTTTCTCACAAAATTTGTGTAGATATGCAAGTGAGTAGAAAAAAGAATAACAAAAATAATAATGCAAGAACGTTATGCAACAAATATCTAAAACCATTAATCTACTCAATAATGTACAAAGTGAATTTGTATATACAGGAAGACATGAATATACAAGAAGAACCAAGCATAAAAATACTAATAACTCTAGACATAGTTCATTGAGCAATTTGAGCCTATGATAAAGTCTTTGAACAGCTAAAGAATTTATCTCTTGATAAAACAGGAGCAGTAAGACTGATGGGAACTGCAATTCTGTAATACTGCAATTCCCCTATTGTCAAATAAAGTCTCTTCATACTGTAAACCTTAAAAATGTATTATTAAAGCCACCCTCAGGTAACAATACTGAACAAACAGTGAATTTTGGTCCAGTGACTCACCGTGCTGTACCTCTTCAGTGAGACAGATCCATAGGGGCTCCCCGTGTTCTTTGTATTGTAATACAGGAACAAGTAATCGGGGTTCATAAGTGAGTATTTGCCACAGAACGCCTCTGTATCAAAGACACGTATCCCATTCACTGAATCAGGAACCTACAAGAAAACAGAATTAGTATAGAAATTTGCAGCTGCCTAAATCAGTTGTGTCCATTGGAGATGAACTGAGTATATGGAAGCTTGGGTCCATTTTCTGCTTATCCTAAAGGTGTCCACCTCGTAGTCTTTGAAAAATGCCACTTCATTGTTCTCCACAGGCAAGATCTTTTTGGCACAATCTGCCATCAACATGGCCTCCACTGCTGACTGCACCTTCAGAGGAAGGACACACATGTCTCCTTCAAGGCACTGAAGACGGACACTGGCATTTAGTTCTGCTGGGGGAATGGAAGCCACTACCTCTGACTCAGGTGCACTGATGTTAATTGGTCTGGATAAGATGCCGCCCCACTGCAGAGTGAAAGTTTCCAGGCTGGGCTTTCCTTTGGTGAGCTCGGTCACTGTAATGCTGACATCCAACTCAGGAGTTTCATAATTAATGCTCTGGAAAGCACCTGTAATAAATATCATTCTGGTTCATTGTGCCATTCTAATTACAGTTTTTGATGACAAACAGCATCACATGGAAATTAAACTGGAATTTAACAAATGCAGTGAACACAAGTGCCTTGCAGCACAGGTATATGGTTCACAAAATAAACTGCAATATAAATTCAGTCAAATAGTTTTCTCATTAGTTCACCTTGCATACTCCCGGTATAATTACCTCTTTTTGAGTTGAAAGTCACGTGGTAAATAGACCTTTCACTGTCGTCCACTTTTAACACCTGGACCATGTCTGGCTTTATCGACCACAGACTGTTTAGGGCGTTCTGCACTTCTACTGCTGAGGCACTCACAGCAATAGGAACTACAAAACATGCCATCAGTCTCTTTAGGTCAACTTTTTATTATAAAGGAGTTCATGTTTTACCAATAAGGGGGTAATGGAGTTCATATTTTATATGTAATATTATTCTGCTTAATAGCTGGAAACTAATCTTAAAAACACTGACAGTTAAACATGCAACAAAGAGGAATATCAAATTATCCATTTAAATTACTTATTTGTTTATAAGTAAGAATACACTTTCACCTTGGGAGAGGATGGATTAAGGAAAGATTGTTCAGCACTGAGTTAACAGCAAAATATACCATTTCATTAAGAAAGCCTAATACCAAGAGAGAACTCTTGCCTGTTTTCTCAGAGTTGTAGATGAGTATGTAGTAAGTGCTCTCACAGGTGTCCAGCTCAAAACATCTACTGCTGATATTCACACTCTGAACCTCACTGATTGGTTGTGCAACGGTCCAGTTTTCAAAGGTGAGCACCTTCGTTTAAAGATAAAACATAATAAAACAGGTCATATTGCAGGAATTGAAGGTATGCGGCTTTGCAGGTTCGGACATAAGGACCTGTGTGATGTCACTAAGATGACCCCCGGCATGACTCAGAAAAAGGGGACACCCATAAATGTTGAGCCTGGGGAAGGCGGTTAGGGGGGAGGGAAAAAGGAGGACAAGGGGGCTAAAAGGAGGGCACCCCACTTCAGTACGTACTTCAGAGTGCTGGGAAACCGCACTGTCTGGACAAAATCAGGACGAGTGGCCACCTAGATTGAACCCTTTAGCGAGGCCCAAAGCCCTTATTTAGCTTCTGCTAAATAAATGTAATATGATGTAAAGTAATTGCAGCTTAATCAATTTTGGAGTAGGGCTGTATGTGCAATATGACGAGATAAAAATATCTATTGCTTCATATCATGCTTTATTGTATATTTCGTATGTACCATGATCCACAAATATTTAACTATCCACAAATATGTATTTTTAAATTTGTGTTGTGTAAAATCATATCCAGAAAAATACGGGACCATTTGTAGACGTGAAATGTGTTTTGCACATTTGTGGATCACTTCCTGTCTGTTTGTGGACCATATTACATTTGTGACTTCCCTCCTATTTATTTATGGATTTTTGTCCAGTTCGTACAGTTACGCAGCCCCTCGCAGATCTGGGTGGGAAAATATTTTTTACAGAGTTTTCTGTTCACAGTAGTTTTTTGATCCCAGTAGTCTATTATAGTCTACTTGCCCACTTGCTATTTGCTGCAACGTAAAACTAAATAATACAGACTTGTCCTGTAAAGTGTGCTTTAAGCATTAAATTATGGGGACAATGTATACCATGTAACTTTAATATTATGTGCTTTTATATGTATTTATTAATAATTGCACTGTGTCCATTCACCGCCAATGACTTTAAGCAAGACAGCCGGGCTACTAAACATGAAGTTTACACATACAAATCAAATATAATTCCTGAAAAACCTTAAATATAATTCAAACATTGAAACAGATTACAGCCGAAAAAACTGCATATAAAACTAATTTTACAATGGTGTTGGAACTTGAACCAACAGTGGTTACTCCACCAAGTACTAAAGCATGTGTTCCAAGGGATCAAATACTTATTTCCCTCGCTAAATGACAAATTGATTTGTAACTGTTACAAAATGATTTTTTCTTGTTCGTTTTTTCGAAAATCTATCTTCTGATATTGAAATAAACATACCATTGAAATTATAGACTTCTCATTTCTTTATAAATGGGTGAACTTAAGAATTCAATGGGGGGGTCAAATAATTATGATTATCATGCTTTATTAAACACAGAGACACTGAAGCAAACTTACCAGACGATGAGGTAGACCCATATTTATAGTCATAAAATGTAAATTAATAATTAAATAATGTGGTTCTTTGTCAATTTGACTTTTTTAAATTCTACTGACTTCTATCAGATTGGAGAATATTGTATCGACGACAAGATCTGATCACAGGTAGTTTTAAAGCAGTGCACACATTTAGCACACTGACACTGTGCAAGAGAAGCATAATGGGGGCATTAGTCGCTTTTAGTTTGCTTCAGTGTCAACTACAAGGCTTGAAAAACCAGGCAATTAACGATATTGTCATAAATGGCAGCGAGCGGCTCATAACCATTTTGCTTTCAGTGTCTATGGGTCTCATCCAATAATATCTGTGTTACCTTAATATAGTTAATTTTTTATTTGCTTTTAAATAACATTTATATAATGTTATTTCACGTCACCATATGCCATGCACTGAATATGACTGGTGACAATAAGGCCCTAATTGTCTTAACTTGCATTAACTTGCTCTGGCCAGTGAGAGCCGACTGTGCAATGAATTGCAACTCTCCTACAAACAGAGAATGCATGAAGCATTCAGGGAGGATCATGAGGTTCAGTCAGTGTTGGACAAAATTTCAAACTTTTTACATGCTTACTTGTCTTTCTTCCACAATGTCAGAGGTGGCTCGGATAACTTGGACTTCATTGATAGCTTCTGCTGTTTGCTGTGATGTGAAAATGCTCTTTTCCTTAAAGAGGCCAACATCCACCGAAGCAACCCATGAATATTCCTGCAAAAGGGCTTCTACATAGTACCTGTGTAAAGAGAAGCGATAATTTGATTATTCTTGTTGCTTAGATACATTAGGCTCTGTAGGAACGGACATCACCGCCATCATCACTGCTGATACAGGAAGACTCACGGTTTTCCTGCTTCTAGATGAATGCTGTCGGATTTCTGTGTGCTGAATGCGAAAAAGCTGACTGTTTGAAAATCTGTGTAGGCAATCTTCACCTGTACACATTTCAGACACCAGAGGAAGAAGAAAAGAACACTATTTAATATAAAGTCAAAACTTGATAGACCAGTCTGTGTGAAAATCAGACCATGCCACTCTCCCAAAGCAAACCTTATCTTGAGGGTTCCCAGTATGGCTGAAGTAGAGAGCTGTGCGGTCATCTCCCTTGATGTAGAAGGTGTAGTTGTCTGTCTCAGTTGGAACAAAGAATCCGCTCAGTCTTCCAACAAAGTAATCTATTTCTTGTTGCCAGGTGTAGGATAGTGAGTCCGTCCAGTTTGTGGAGTATCCCGACGTATTCTCATTGTAGCTCAGCGCCTCCTCTAGCCTAGCTGGGCTGGTGTTGGTCCACATCTCCATTTTCACACCCCTACCACCTGCAGCAATTGCATTTAAGTGCATGACATATGAAAATTGTGAGGTGAGTCTTTCATCAAGAGGAAGTTGTTTTTATGTATATTTCAAATGAAAAACAGACTTTTCAATGTTGTTTTTTGTGAGGAGCAAGGCACATTTAGAATTTTTTATATCATTGTGTGTCTTAATTAAGTATTAGAAATGGTAATAATTAATCACTACACAAAATTCTGACACAAATCTTTAGCTGATAAAAATAAAATTACACTCACCTACATATAGGTTAAGTAAATTCTAAGTAAAATGCTTTCAACATGTTGATCCTATTTGCAGATTTTGAGCTGGAGAAGAAGTGAAATGTGATAATTCATAAAAGCACTGATATGCCTCACCTGGAAAGATTGTTGCATTCTGTTGCTGGAACTTGGGACTCTTGCATGTAATTCTATGGTCGAATAAGCTCTGAATGTCACATTTCATCCCTTCAAAATCAAAAAAAGATCACTATGTGAACTCATGTAACAAACATGCTGTAGCATGTCCACTTTTAGCAATTGACACATGAACTCACTGTATTCATAGAAGGACTTCTCTCCAAACCCCCTTTTGAAGGGTTACAAATCTGGTTTCCTATCCAAAGGTCTTTTCAATTTTTGAAATATATCATGTCTGTTTTATACAGTGCTTTTGACCATCTCGTCTAGTGATAATTTCAATATTTAAATATATTAGTTTTATCATTATAATATCAATCATGCCAGTTCTGGAAAAATCCTACAGTGTAATACACTTTACAGAATGTATGTATGTCTATAATGTAGGTATATCTATCATGTGTATTCCTCTTGTCTGGATCTTGACTATACTTTATAATTTAATAGTTTGATATCCGTTTAGACTTTGTGAACTCTACAGACTGTAATGATATTCTAAAATACATATTTAGTGAACAATTACATAATAAAAGTTAAGTATTAAATGTTTTTGATATTTTTAACCACATTGGTAACACTTTCCTTGATAGGGCATAAATAATATAGTATTATACTGTTACTTATGTAATAACCACAAACTAAATCTTAGTTATATACTGATCTATTGTTTGTCCATCTTAAATGAAATGCAATGCATTTCATAGCTCAAGTAGTGACTATATTCATTCAGTATTTGTTCATGATTTGTACTCCAGTAGTAAATTTAAGCAGTAGTACATTGAAGCAATTTCCTCCGGGATCAATAAAGTTTTCTGATTCTGATTACTAAGTATGTGTGCCCTGTGAAGTAAAGTGTTACCAGGGAAATTGTCCACTAAAAATATTACCTGCAATAAGAACTGTGGCAGGATAATCTGTTTGGTCAAAGAAGTTTCCAGAAATAGTCAGAACAGTTCCACCTTCTAGGCTTCCCACTGCTGGAGAAATCCCAGATACCTCTGAAATTAAAGCAATTAAACATGTAAAATAAACAGCAAATGCTCGTGTCTCATCCTTTGAATTTGAAAAATATGATTGAGTTGATATATATTCAGTTATTTACCAGCATATGTCTGGAACATAGCCAGCTTGTTCAATGATGAAACAGAATAAACTGCGCGATCACCTAAACTCCTGTAACAGATCATGCATATGAATTCGAACACATGCAAAGATTAAAGCATAAGAAAAACAACACACAAAAGTTACAACAGACACACCTTCCATATTCACCACTAATAATGAAGGTAAGGTTGTGATGCCCTGAAAAAAAGAATATGAAGATTCTTAGCAATTCTTTGTCCACCAAACGAAGCACTAAATATCAGAAATGACAATCCTTACCAACATATTTCCCAGTCATTTTGCAAGACATTCTTCCATAGGTATACCAATTTATCCTGAGCTCAAACCTGAAGCAAAATTGAAGAACTGTAGGATTTATAGCATAAAGCAGTACAGGATACAAACAGAAGTAAACAGAAGTTTTTTCAACTAGATAAGAGACTTACGGGAGATCGGAGTTGGCTTTCAGAAGCTCACAAGGCATCCCTCCCATGTAAGACCTAGGATGCACATTAAGTTAACTGACAGGTATCCATTTAATTGTGCAAAAAAAGAACAGTTTTGACATCTGTGGTATAACTATGTTTCTATTAACAGTTGTCTACAGGGGGATTTGTCAGTAATAAACCCTTTCCAGTGAAATACCATAGAGCTAAACCAGGCCTGGTGAAGGGCAGGTCCATGGACATGGACTCAGCAGTAATTTGACAGCTGCCTATTTGTGCATTACCTCAAGAACCAGACGTTCAGGCCATTTGAACTTCTGAGCCAATTCGTCCCATACATGTCCGTAAAGATGTTTCCTTCCATTGTAATTAGGGTCCCTGTTGATTTAAAGTATTGTCTATGGTAAGATTACACAGGGGAAATGTTTCCCTTCTGTAACAAGACAATTATTTTATGGTTTAAGATCCACAAATGTAACATCTTTGTCAATCAAATGATGAAAATGAACCTGGAGGAGCATACCTGGTAAACCAGAAATTGACAGAAGGCTATTGACTGTAGGAGTGTTGGAGAGTCTAGCCTGTAATGAAATAATAGAAAAAGTGATCTTTCAGTATTAAAACAGGTCATTGCATTTAACCTTGTTCATTTATAATACTCAACATTGCTATAACTTACTTCAAATCCTTAATTGCTAACACTTTACTTGATGGAGCAAAAATAATGTGGTATTAAGCTCTAACTTATATATTAACCACAGACTATGATACATTCTGATCTAATGTTTGGTCATTATCAATGAATTGTAACGCAACTTTTATCTCAAGCAGTTACTATGTTTTGTCTGTTAATTCTGTGAACCTTTGTGAACTACTGAAAGGCACAAGTCCAGAATAACATAATTGTAATACTGATCTCATTTTCCTCATCATTCAGGAATCATAACAAATAGTTTATATCAAGTAGTGACTATATTTGGTCATGATTTGTACTTTACTAGTAACTGAAACACTTCTAAGTATTTGTGTCCCCTCAGTGTAACCAGTTCATTTTGTTACTTTAAATACAAATGGAAAATAAGTTGGTTTTTTTTCTGGGTCCTGTTTATTCCTACAAGAATATATTCTAGGCTTTTGGTATACTCAGCAGTCATGGGCACATCTAACCAAAAATTGTTAGCTTTGATAAGCACTAATCCACTAAATCCAAAGATAAATATACGAGAACGCTAAACCGATTAACCACTAAAACATCCTGTGGAAGCTAACAATAACTGCTAACAGCTAACTTTAATTACAGATGCTCCTCTACTTACGAACTTTCAACTTACAAACTTTCAGACATACGAACAAAGTGGACTGTGAGACCAAATTATGTTCGTTGGGCTCCCGTTTCCTGTCCGCAACATAATTTTTTTTTCTGCGCGCCAATTCCGTCTAGTACGACTTCTGGCCGCTGCTCCCGCCGTGCAGCAGCGTAGCGTGCGGACTCCCAGCATCCTAGTTCTTTGTACTTGCGTATACCCTTAAAATGATGTTGAATAATGACTTACGAACATTTCTAGTTACGAACGGCCATTCGGAATGTATCTCAGTCATAAGTAGAGGAGCGTCTGTATATGAATTTAGCTTGTAAAATAAGCATCTTTGTTTGGAGTCATATTAGTGTTCTATCGACCAATGCTACCTATCGAGACATGCTATCGAGCCTTTCTGCGCATGTGCAGTTCCATCGTTTTGGACGCGGTATAAAAATGCATGCCCAAAAAGTTAAAAGTTGAACTTCATTTGAAATACAACATCCTTTATGGAATTATTTGAAATAAAAGGACTCATTAGTTATTGAAATATTCATTCATTCATACATAGATATTTATTGATTTCATTTTGAATATTATGGCGTTCATTACAAACGTCTTAGGCAGTTTGGTTATCCTAGAATGCGCCAATACCTTTTCCCGGTGTGAACGGGGCCAAAGTTGGTGGAAACTCTAATCTGCTAAGGAAAAAGTTAGCTTCGCCAATTAGCAGTTAGCGGATTAGCAGAACCCTACCCACCACTGGCACCCATGGAGTAATTATGACATTTTTATATTGATATTAGATGATGCTATTCTGGTAAGCTTATGTGCCAAATGGCCCCAAAGATGTCTTCCAATTAAAAAGCATAAAATGTATTGTTTTTGTAATTGTGGTCTTTGATATGCTGATGGAAATTATCACTCACATGGAAGGAACACCAGTAAGATCTGCTGTCCCCATAGCAGATGTTTTCTTCAGGAACCGGCACGCCATCCACACTGACGCGCACCACGTAACCATCCTCCGGCATTGCTCTGTTAATTAAGCGTTTCTCATTACGTTTATCATTTACATATTGTAGATTGAATGATTGAAAAAAATATCTAGCAGGAAGCCTTACCTGGTGTAGCAAAGTATTAGTCTGCTATGGCTGGAGGCCTTTTGCACATCACAGGGAAAAGATCTTGTGTCGGACACCAGCTGGACATTGTTCCCAAGGTCATTACTGTCACTGCTGAGGCTGAATTGGGTTTCTTGGGCAAATCCTTAAAAATAAATCAGTCTGTTAGAAAAGATGGCCCATCCATCCATCCATCCATCCATAACTGCTTATCTATACTGAGTTGAAGTGAACCTGAAGAAAAAAATCCCCTACCACCTTTTATACTGCCCACTAAGCCATATGGGACAGATACCTTCTCCTTGAATCGTAAGGCTTGTTCCTCCATTTAGGCTTCCTTCATTTGGCATCACTCTTCTGATTACTTGTGCATCTAGGAAACATAAATGAGAGACACATAAAACAGATTAAAAGGTAAGATGTACTGTAGGGGCCATTAAAAGGCTCTCTAGAGTTAAAGAATATTGCAAAGAAAAAGGAGATTATAAATAATCGAGGCAAATGTATGTGTAGTGGGTGACCTACCTGAGAAGCAACAAAGTGAAATAAGCACCGTGATTTGAGTTAGTTTGAGCTGCTGCAGACGCCTCATCCTCTTGATGCTTTAAGACGCAGCACAATGCAGCTTGTCAGTCTAAAGCATCGGGCTGCAGAAGGGAAGCAATAATATACAATGTACTGTAGATTAAACTGCTGATTCAAAAAATAAAGCAGGTACATTTTACAGTACAATCAAACATCAAGAATAATTAAATAAAATAGAAAAACGAATGCAGTAATTAAACACTTCAGAAATACACAATTACAAAGAGATTCATGACATATTTCAACTTCATTCAGGTGAATCAGAATGATATTCCTTATTACCATCATTTAAGCTACAGTTTAAAATCATACCGTGCTGTATCGTGCAGGTCAGATATCCTGGACAATGTCGGGGGCTTTTTGTAGAAGTACTGGGGTGAGTCCTGGATACCAGGCTGTGTACCTGCATTGTGGAGATAACACACCTTTGGCATAGCAACATTCTGCAGTCATCACCCTGTAATTATCTGTCCCAAGATCCTATTATATTTTTTGTTAGGTAACTATTAATCTGGTTTCTATGATCAACATGTTGCCTATTCACAGAGCAATCATTTCCCTTCAGTAGATAAATATTTCCTGAAATACTGAACAGTTGTTTCCTGGTCCTCATTAGCACCAATTTGAATATTAAGCTACATACTAACAATGGTAAGATTAACTGATTCGTGAATGTTCATAATGCAACTGCCCCGATTATAGAAGTGTGCACCAGATGCTATTTGGGATGAACTCACGATACATCACTTCTGATTTTCTTTGCATTGGTAAAATACAATTTATTAATATTTAATTATTAGTAGAAGCCTTATTCCTTTATTGTTTAGAAATATGACCAACAATTTTTGATGAATAATTCTATAGATAAATAATTCAGTAGAAATGAGTTCTGTGGAGCGACAAATAAGGCTTCTCTGTCTGGCAGTCTGATGGATGAGTCTGGGTTTGGCAGATGCCAGGAGAACGTTACCCGCCTGACTGCATTGTGCCAACTGTAAAGTTTGGTGGAGGAGGGATAATGGTATGGGGTTGTTTTTCAGGGGTTGGACTAGGCAGGTGTTCCAGTACTTTTGTCCATATAGTGTATGTTGGACCTCCTTCAGGACAACTGGAAGAGCATCTCAGGAGGCCACCTTATGAAAATGATGTAGAGCATAGAGAAAGTAGGATCAGCAAGTCCCTGGTGCAATTGAGCTTAAAGGCTTTGCTCAAAGGCCTAATGGTGAGATCACTCTGCTGACCAAGGGATTTGAAACAGTAACTTTATGAGTCCCAACTGATCAAAATATTGCTTTTTGTTTAATACTTTTTTGGTCATTGCATAATCCATATGTATGTTATTTTATAGTTTTTATGTCTTCGTAATTATTGTAAAACATATCCTCCTGAGACCCGACCTATTCATTTATGTCCATTGTAGTGGACATTGTATTTTTGCATTTAGTTTTTCACTGATGTCAGGAAACATATTTATTCCTGTTGTGCACTAAAGAGGACATGCTGCAAAATTAAAAATAAAAATAAATTGGAAAAAATTTAATTGTAAGATGTCTTATTTCCTCCAAAGACAAATAACCTACAATTGAAGGACACTTTTTTCCTTGGGTCTCAGGAGGATATAGTACAAATAAACCTTTCTCTGGGTAGGTGTGGAGAGCAGATATTTTAGGGGGCAGTGAGTGACTCAGTGGGTTAGGTCTCTGTGCCTGGGATCAGGAGGTTGCTGGTTCAAGCCCTAGCCTTGGCAGAACAGTCATATGTCCATGGGCCTGTGAGCAAGTTCCTTAACCCCAGCTTCACTGCATAATAGCTCACTCTGCAAAGCCTACCCCCCCCCCCCCCAAGCTATGGAGTCAGCAGAAATAAAGCTTGTGTGTGTATATGCATGTAGATGTGTTTTCTGAGCTGCATGATCACATCCATCTATTTTTTGATCATTTAAGGCATTGTGTTAACATTTGACCCTTGAGCATGGCAATGACGTAAAATGGTTGCTGAAATTACATTCCACTCCACCCCTTGGCGTGTCTGTTGGTGTCAGTTTCCAAATCTGAAGGGTCCCAGTGGTTCTATAATGACTGCCTTCAGCCTACCAACATGTATGCCTGTTAGGCACCTGGGTGTGTACCTGGGCAACCAGCTGGAGTGGACTCTTAACACAGTGTGTAAAAAGGCTCTACTGCCTACGGATTCTCACCTCCTTTGAAGTTTGCAGGATGATCCTGGAAAAGGAGCTGTCAGGCTTCTGGGTGTGTGAAAACCCTAACAACGCTATGTTTTGGTCCCATTTTGAAGTTCTTATTGGCAACCTGATAGATACTAGGGGAGCTCAAAAAGTGGTCTGGTTTCTGGTGAGAGAGAACTGTACACAGTGAATGACAAAGCTGAATGCTATCAAGTCCATGTTATTAATTATGGAGTTAATTTTGTGCCACAGGTATTAAACGAAATTCTGAAAACTGCAAGCAAATTATTATCAGAATGAAAATCTACATTGTAAACAATAATTGAATAATATATATATATATTTTTTTTCCTTTCATACATTAACATTTTTGGAAAAAGAAATTAAGCCAGCACAGACCTTACTGATATTTGCTAGCTAAAGAATTAGATACCTGATCTATCCATTGAAAATAGGGCTTCACCCATATACTAGCTGGGCAATAAAATTGGCTGATAAAGCTTCCATGAGTTTTTCATGGAAGAAAAAAAAAACGGTGACACTCTACTTGATGGGGCATAAATAATATAGTATTATCCTAATTAACCACACACTAAATCTTAGTTACATACTGATATCATTCATTATTAATGATGCAACTTTTATCTCAAGCAATTACTATATTTGTTATATCTGTTAACTCTGTGAACCTTTATGAACTACTGAAGGGACAAGTGATGAATAACATGTTAAATTCTGGCCTCATGTTTGTTCATCATTAATGAATCATGATGCATCTTTTATCCCATGCACATACTATATTTGTCACTATGTCTGTTAATTCTGAAACCCCCTGTGTAAATAGTTGAAGGAATAATTAATGACTAACACAAGTGAAATACTGATCTCATGTCTGTTCATCATTACTGAATCATGACATATTTTCTCTAGTAGTGACTGTATTTGTTGATGATTTGTACTTCAGTAGTAACTGAGTTATTACTAAGTACCTGTGCCTTTTAAAGTGTTACCAAAACACCTTGCTCATCAAGCACCGGTAACATGTATTTAAACATTTCTGATCAGAAAATGAGTTCTCTCACTGAAACAAATTCTGAGACTCTGTGATTCCTGCAGCGTACTGCTTGTGAGTTTTTCCTGTTTGGGTTTAACTCATTGACAATAATAAGTCTTAAAGTATACAACTTAAAAATGTATGTACTGAGTGCATGAGCAAGATATATAATAATAAAATAAAATAATAATAATAATAATGACACTTTATTGATCCCTGTGGGGAAATTCTCTTTCTGCCTACATCTCTCTCTCCATGACACACAGTCACATATGTAGGTGAGAGCGAGCTTGGCAGTGAAGGGCAGCCACCTGCAGCACCAGCCATGGAGCTGGGGGTTGAGGGCCTCGCTCAAGGGCCCACAGATATGCGACTATTTTGCCGAGGTCGGGCTCAAACCAGCGGACATCGGATCACAGACACAGAGGCTTAGTCCGCTGAGTTTACAACTGTATCCCCCACTCAGTATTTAAGACAGATATATCTTAAAAACCATGAAGTACTTGTATTAACAATGGCCTGAGATTGAGAAAATAGCACCCAGACAGCTCACGGGATTTCAACTGGAAAAAAAAGGTTACAGTGACCTTATTTATGAATTAGTCCCAAATAATAAGCTTATGTTATAAAGTGATACTTGCTCATACGGGAGAAAGCGTTAATGTTGGAGAGTAGGGCATGCTTACAGACACCGGCCTGGTCAGATTTATATACCCAAAGTATTTAGTAAAATCACAATATAAAATGTATCTTTTAATGTATTTTATTTGAACATATCCCGAACAGCAAATGGTTTTTAAAAAAAAGTTATCTAAAACATTTAAAAAAAACTGCCAGGGAAAAATAGCTGCAAAAGAAATACATACATGAATTGTGATACGTTTAGAAAAGAAGAGATGAACAGCTCCGTGGTCAGATTCACAAGGTTGAATGCTGAGCTAGGAAAGCCCTTATTCTCTGCAGGAGCTCCTTTTTCACACTGTCTGGTACAAGAGCTGCAAGGGAAAAGGGTCACTACAGATGATCACATCACATTCTCATCAATATTAACATTCCAACTGGTCATTGATAATTAATGAATAGTATGCATTTCTATTAACTAGGAAAATGCATTACAATTAATAATAAACTAAATACCTCTTCCTTTTGGTGTGATTTCAGCAACCAGGTCCTCCACTGTCACGTGCTCCAAGCCCTTCTCTCTGATCACATCTGCAAACCACACAGCATCTATCAGATATGAACCTGGGATTCTACAAGTTGCTACCGATGACTTGTTTAACAAGGGTTCACAAAAAAAAAACATGGAAATGGCTTTGAATCAGTAACCTTCTGATTACAAAGTCCCACCCCACCACCCACCACCGGGAACTTATTGCATCCATTTACTCCAGGTCTCACAATCGCCTCACCTTTGCAGTGTGCCTTCAACTCATCCTTCCACCCACATTCAGTGAGTTTTGCCCTTAGCAACTCTTTCAGACTGAGGTTGAGGGAAACCAAAGAATAAAACAAAGAGATGATTAATTAGCCATATCGTTAGCGTAGTACCACTGAATTACTTTTGAAACTTGCAGACTACATGTTCTCCTTGTGTCATGTGCATTTGCTCTGGGTTCCCCCCACAGTCCAAACACAAGATAAAACAGGATGAAATATTCATCCTAAGGGAAATTATTGTGTCAAGGCCAGGGTTGGGGCCATTCCAGAATGCATTGAACAATTCCAGTCCAAATCAGGAAATGGAACTGGAGTTGGAACTTAAATCTCCCTGAAATTCAAATTCAACTCCAATTCTGTTCCCCGTAGTTTTTTTCCCCCAATCCCAGCTCCACTTTAGCAAATGTAAAAAATATGATACCAAATAATAAAGAATACAAGTATAAAGACAAACTTAGCTAAAAAAAAGATGGGGTACGCATGCAGTTCGGTTAACTGGTGTCTTTACACTTCCCATAGTATGTGATTGTGTGCATGTGTTTGCACTCTGTGATGGACTGGCATCCCATAGACTGTCTCACCCCACCTTGTGCCCTATGCTGCTTGAGATGCAAAGCTGGATGACTATTTATATAGATTCTCTCATATTAAATGTAAGGACTAACTGATGGGACATTTTCCAAACAGCATGGAGTTGTTCTGTAAAAATACATGTACGATAAATATTAATGATGTCCTACTAAACGATTAATTGATGTAACCGGAATGAATTTTCACATGGATGAACATGTAATCTGGACAACAGTGATTTCCATATAAACATAATTTAAATGTGTGAACTGATCACATTTTAACCAGTAATTAATTTTAAATGCACTTTTAAAGTTATGAAGTACAGATAACCATTTTGACCCACGTTAAGCAAAACATACTTGAAAGTTGAACTTACCGCTCCCGTTCACCCATCTCTATCAACTTTTGATTAATCGCAGCTCTCATTTGTAAATCTTTACTCATTTTTTCCTATTGAAAATGAAAAAGTAATAATCCATTTGGGGAACATATCGCAGCTCCCTACCCAAAACAGACTAAGTATGTTTATGGTGCAAAAACAAACAAAAATACTAATACGTATACCTCTCGGTATTATAGAGTACTATAGATGAAGAAAGACAATTCACGTAGTGTTAAGTCAGAAACAGTTTTTTTCAGATCAACAATCAATAGATTAAAATCAGTACATGCCCAATATCCAGTCACCTAAAGTTCATAAATGCATATTGATTAGTAAATAGCGTAAACATGAAGTGCATGCACACTAATAGTTCTAATTCCCTTTTTCAAGCAATTAAACTTCTTAACGTTATTTCAAGTATCAACAACAATGTCTGAGTTTGCTCCGCAATTCTCAGTTCACCAAAATACTATTTAAAATAGCCAGATTTATTCAAACCACCGACGAATTATACATTTCTAGTTATTTACATAAGATAAAGATTAATATCTAAATGCATCAGATATCCAGGTTAAATACAGCATTTTAACAATTCTAACGTTAGTTGCCTTGGTTAAATTATTATAGCGAAACATTTACTGTGCCAAGATGATAGCAGCTGGCCAGTAACCACGCCGTATACTCTTAAAGTTACTTAACGAAATATAAGTTGCAGCGTTATTTCCTGTAAATCGTGCTTATTTATTCTGTGTCGTCTCTACCTACCAAACAGGTTCCGCTTACTAAAAGACAACAACCATTTATACTTCACTATTTCAGTACGCCTGTTTGTCTTGTTTGAAACATTGCTTTAGGGTCAGTTTATGCGCACAAAACATTATCTTTACCCATTGTGACCAAATTAAGAAACTGATCCAGAATCAGTTATTTGCTAACAGTGTCTCACTACCGTCACGTAAAAGTAACCGGTACTTTGCCATCCCGGTAACATTAAAATTCCGTAATGCAACATAGACAAATACATAGTTCCTATGTGTACTTATGTAGCAGACTGCTACCAGTATAATATAGTCCTACGACTCATGGTGTTAATGCTGCGTGTGAAATTGTGATCCTCAATTTTTAAACAAAAAATTCACTTCGTTTTCAATCTATGCATACATATGCTTTATAAGATGTACCGTTTTTGATAAAGATTAGAAAAAAGTTAATGTGTTGAGAATTCATGTATTACAACATACATAAAGTATTTTTCTCCGTGACTTTTTAATTTAATAATTTCCTACGTAATATATTGAAATTTTCTCAGTTGTATTGTTTGATCGTTCTCTTAAAAAGGCAATCTATTCTATTTTGTTTCAAGTGTGGCTCTTTGATCATGGTGTCACTTCCTTCTTTAGTCGGGTCGGTCCTTCGAAAAATTCCGGGGTAATACAAACAGGAAACACGTTGCATGTGCTATTCTGAATGTTGATGTTTTGAGTAATACATTTAGAATTATATTAAAATACTACCAATTTCAATTCGTTTTATTTTATAGATGTGAAAATGGCTGCTTCAAATTATTCCCTGAAGGTCAACAGACAACTACTGGACCCAAATTTCGAAAGTTATAGGTTGTCTTTGGACCCCATACCAACTTACACGATTGAGCTAGATGCAGGTGAGTCAATGGAAGCAAGGATGCTTTTTTCTTCCCGAAATCTTGCTTTAATTTTTTCACTTCTGGTGTTTCATGTGAATACGATTCACATCGTTTTTGGTTGGCTAGTTAAAGATGCTTTGGAGGTACGGACATCCAGCTTACATAAGTTTACGTTGCCCAACATTAGTATTAAGGGGATACTATATTTACAGTCTAAAATGCCAGTCTACGTGATTTTTTTTCTGCAGAGTTCAGAACCACAGAGGTGTTGTGGTTCATAGATAAATCGTGCCTTTAATTGCAGTTTCAGGTTCTTCTAAGGTCCAATGTACAAGACAACATAACAGAACATTTCACATTTTGTCATCGCCTATCGTATCAAACAGACATTTAATTACACCTGCCATATGAACTCTTAAAATAAAGGAGAACAGTCTGTGATATGTGTTTGAACCGAAACAACATTTAAAAAAATCTGGTCGGAAGGAATGCTAAGGATGTACTTTCAGTTAAATGGACTAATGTGATAATCAATACCAACACAACCAATTAAAAATCTCATCAAGGGTCATTTTTTAAAAGTACAAAGATTGAGATATGAATAGCAGTGTATATCTTACATTTTTCAATTATGTTATGCAAATGAATTCCTCAAGTCTTCCACTAGGTGGCAGGCGTCCGTCACCGGTAATCTGAGCGCTTTACGAATTATTACGCAACTCAATATTACTAGAAATGTTTTGTTCTGCATTACAGCGCTCTACCTAAAGGTCACTGTGAAGTGTCCATTTATTTTCTCACAGTAGCCTCTGTTTCAGGTGTGCTTGCTTGGCTGGAAAAAAGAACACTTTACGTCTGTGTTTTTTTTGGTATATTAATGGCTAATACACGAAAAGAAAAAACGAACACTGTCATTGCTGTAACAATTTTGATTTGCTTTTTTTTCCTGCTCCTTTTGTAACAGATTGTAAATAAACTTAATTGCATAATCAGAAATGGAAAAAATAATTAGTGTCACCTCAGGTTTTTGCTACCTTCCCGCTAATTACTGCAGAGTTGAGTGCTAGTTAAAGAGTGCAGGTGACTCACTGTAGAACTACGACTAAACTGTGCACGTAGCTCCCCTGCTTAGTGTGTAAGAGATCTGAACAACAACATCCAGTACAATTGCTGTACTATAGCAGAGTACTTTTATGTGCTTTAATGTGTGAGTAAGTCAGCATTGCGTTGTAGAGTGTCACACGCGTCATGCCGCACTGTGGCGTTCTCCTCTGTTCTGTCCATCTTCTCCAGCCGTGGCGGAGGTCAAGCTCAGAGACAGCCAGTACACCCTAGACCATGTGCGGGCATTTGGCATGTACAACTACTTACATGGGGACCCCTGGTACCAGGACAGCGTCTACTTTGTGGACTGCAAGGGACGCGTGCTGAACCTCACCGTCACGCTGGTAAGCCCACTGGGTCACGGGGGTGCAGACTGTGCTCCCCCACACCGGAAAGTCGGAGGCTGGAAGGAAGATGGATGGAGTAGCTTTGTGTCTCCAAAAGTGTCAAAGAACAGCAGTTGAACAGAGCAGCCGAGTCTTTTTGATGGCTTAGGCTCGTGTAAATTCCTAATCTTATTAAGCTCTGATCTGCTCATATTGGTGTAATGACTCAGCCTGAAGCCCCCTGGGCTGCATCCTGATGACATTCATGAGGACTCTGTCCTTCTCATGAGAAGAATTCTCCACCTTCTCTGCCTGCTTTATGGGGGCGATATGTGGCTCAGCACCTTAGGACACTCTGCTCGCGACCAGAAGGTTGTTGGTTCAAACCCTGTGGTCAGTAATGTGAGTTCACAGTTTGGCCCTTTGCCAAGGCCCTTAACTCCCCTTGCTTCAGGGACTGTCTGACCCTGCTTTCCCAAAATGTACATCAATTTGGATTAAAATGTCTGATAAATGAATAAAATGTAAAACATGTATTATTCCCCTGCACTTAATCTGCTCTGTTTATTTTATGGTTGCTACATTGAAGTCTTTTTTTCATTTCTCTCCTGTACTCTTTCTCTTCTGTACTCTTTCTCTTCTGTACTCTTTCTCTCCTGTACTCTTTCTCTCCTGTACCCCACACTTCACTCAGAGTTTTTTCAGTGCATTTAAAATGCAAGCACACCTTTCGTGTCCTTAAGCCAGTCTGTATCCTGCCTTTTTCATGGTGTCCCTTGTGGACCGTGATACTGCACTGGACTTACCTCCTGTCATTTATGCTACATGTTCAGTGAAAAAGCCCAGCTAAACCAGTTTAGATGCATGTGCCATTGCCTCAGTTAAAATGTGGTGAAAATCATCGGTACACTTAAGAGTTCCGCTTGGCAGTTACACCCGCAGTCGAGGATGTCACATCATGCCGTGTGTCATTCTGTTTTTCACTCCGCCTACTCCATCATTCCTGACCGTGTTCTCCTGATGTGTGTTGTTAAAAGGCATACTGGAGAAGACATCTGTCAGACTATGGGTGATCTTTTGACACCAGTAAAGTTTGGTGCCTTGAGCGAGAATAAAAAAAGAAGAGTACAGTACACACTGGGTATGGTGAATGTGGTGTATTCTCGTGCAAAAGTACTTGTGTAACAATGCATAACTACTGGCTGAAAATTTGTACCTGGAACAATCTGCATGTTGGTATAGCGCTGTAATTATGGCAGAAGCTTATAGTAATTATCACTTTGGGTGGCAGGGGTGGCTGCATTGTTAATCAAAGTATAACATTTCGCATGGTGGGGGGTGGTTAAGGATTCTTCAAGAGAAGTCAGTGCTAATGGTATTGTGGTAATGGAGACATGCAGAGCCATGGCAACAGAGCACCAGAGAGAGGCTGACTGACACACTCACGCCTGGGGCGGCTGCCATTCTCACAACCCAGACCTGCGTGTCTCTCGTCTGTATGCCTGAGAAACAGCATTCACACAGTGTCTGATCTACCTCCGTGCCAGAAGAATGTGGGAGTTCAGTGCTCATTCCTTTTTGTGGTCGAGGACCCAGTAGGTGCTGGTGTTCTGACCCAAACACGGGCAGAATTGAGACTCGGTGACCACTGTCCTTTTGCTGGCATCGTGACTTTAGGTAAATTGTTGAAGGTTTCCTTCTCTATCCAAAGCATGACCTCGATGAGGTCAGTGTCCTAATCACCCTCTCTGTCGTTGTAGGACACAGCCTTGGGGAAGCCTAGGGAGGTCTTCCACCTGCCTGAGGAGCTTGGCCCGTGCGAGAACCGCCTATGTGCTTCACTCAGTCTCACCTCAGCCACCTGGGCTATGCTCTCGGATGGCATTGGCACGCTGTACCTCCTCAGGACCGGCAAGAGGGGCGAGAGCGCATTCGCCAAGTGGGAGGTAAGGGCGCGGCTCCGTCGTCGTGACTCTCTCTCTCCCAGCTTGCGGCACAGACCAGATGTTAAATAAGCTGGTAACCATTGTAGTCATAATCGGAATTTATCGTAGTAAATCATGGAATGTTTTTGTTTTTACATCTGATGGAATAACCCACGGCAGCAGCCTTTTATGTCTTCATGAAACATGAAGATTTTCATAGGTCTGGACCTTAACAGACACAAGACTCAAAAGCTGTAATGGCGGTCGCTTTGTACCCCATGAGAGATTGTGCTGGAGCACAAACATAAGCAGAGGGTTCTGGCACATTGGGCCCGTTTGTACCAGCCGATAGATCAGGCATCCAGCCACGCCCACACACCACCTCCAAGGATGGCATTAATAAGGGAAGGTGTGAAGAGCAGTTACACCCACCTCAAACCTGTGCTGTTACCCACTCCAAATGCCATACAGCACATGATACTGCCCCCCGTGGCAGGGGGCTCCCAGTGTAAGGAAACACACACGTGCGACCTTAGGATATGCTATACAGGATGTAGGAGAGCATTACTGTGAGAATGACGCGCTGCAGTTCACAAACACGTCTCCCCAGCAATGACTGCTGTTTGCTCCCTGCTTATGTTACCGATGTCAATATGTCACATGATTTCCTCATTTATAAACTTCTAACAATGGAAGGATTACCATGGGTTTGTTGTTTGCATTCCCTGGACTTTGGGGAATACATATAGCACCAGTCCAATGCTACCATCAGATGCTTTGCTTGTTAAGATGATAACTCAAAAACTGTTTTACAGATGTGTAAAGAGGCATTGTAGGGGTCAGGAGCTCAAAGTAGTTAACGTTGGAAACTGAGCATCCAAAAATTGAAGCAGTATCACATAGTGATAGTGAAAAAAGGCCAGTTCTAACACTTGATCCCATAGCTCAAAAACTATAGGATGGATCTTTTTCAAACTTTTCAGAGGAATTGCTTGGCTGTCCATCTAGATTTGATTACGTGTTACCAATCACCCCAAAAATAAAGCAACGCCACTTTGTGGCGGCAACAGGAAAGGTGAAAGCAATGTGATGTCCATCAAACGTTTTTTTTTTTTTTGGTTTTACACGTGGCTTCATTTTCAGACAAATTCCCCAAAACAATTAGATAAGAGGTTTACCCTTCTGAATAAGAATACTCTGTTATTATTGCTCAGATACAGTAAATTGAGTTTTGATGGATCTTTTTAGTACTTTACAAAAACAACATTATATCAATGAAAATCTACACTTGAAAATCTTCTTCAAGATAGACCTCACATCAATCCAAAATTAGAATTACAGCGACAGGAGGCATCCAAGGCCAAAAACTGAGGCTGCAGCTGCCATCTTGTAAACACAGCTATTTGCCATCTAAATGTGTTCTGTGGATCTTTTTGCACACTTCCTTGGAACATTGTAAAGGTCAGCGATTCTAAAACTGTGGAGCACAAGATGATTTTCTGAATATTCTGTAATAAAGTTTATATTGATTTTTCGGCCCTAGCCTTGTTCGGCATGTCCTCTTCAACCATTTGCTGAAGCAAATATCTAATCGGCCAATCGTGTCACCCTGTATAAAGTCATGCAGATGCAGGTCAGGAGCTTCAGTTACTGTTCACATCAAACACCAGAATGAGGAAGAAAGGTGATTTAAGTGCTTTACCTGACTTTGAACGTGCCATGGTTGTTGGTACCAGACGGACTGGTATGAGTATTTCAGAAACTGCTGATCTACTGGGATTTTCATGCACAAGAGAATGGGCCAAAAAGGAAAAGACATCTTCTGAGTGGTAGATGTCTGGGCAAAAATGTTTTGTTGATGTTAGAGGTAAGTGAAGAATGACAGAGGACAGGACATTCCCAAAGAATGTTGTATGTTTCCCACGTATCAGCATCCACTAGACAGCACTTAACAATAACAACTGATCTGTTATTTCATCTTTATTGTAATCCATCCGTCACATTTATCTTGGTCAGGATTGCAGGGGCTCATGGTTGTAATGCAATAAGTAATCGTACTAAAGTGGGCAAATACGGGGGTTGGACAATGAAACTGAAACAGCTGGTCTTAGACCACAATAATTTATTACTATAGTGTAGGTCCTCCTTTTGCGGCCAGAACAGCATCCATTAATCTTGGGAATGACATATAAGTCCAGCACACTGTCCAAAGGGATTTTGAGCCGTTCCTCTTGCAGAAATGGCCAGGTCACTATGTGATGCTGGGGGAGGAAAGTGTTTCCTGACTCGCTCCTCCAAAAACACCCCAAAGTGGCTCAATAATATTCAGATCTGGTGACTGTGCAGGTCATGGGAGATGTTCAACTTCACCTTCATGCTCATCATAGCACTCTGTCATCAGTGCATTATCATCCTAATACACAGCACCACCTTCAGGGTACAATGTTCGAACCATTTGGTGAACATGGTCCTCCAGAATGATTCAGAAGTCCCTGGCGGTGACGGGCCCATTTAGAACAAGTAGAAGCCCAAACCATCACTGATCCTCCCCCGTGCTGCATTTTGGGTTCGGGTGGTAAGGCTTTTTGGGGCTTCTGCACACTAACTCTCTCGGATGTGGGAAAGATAGTGCAGGTCAACTCTTCAGAGAACAATACATGTGTCACATTATCCACAGCCCAAGATTTGCCCTGCTGGCACCATTGAGACCAACATTTGCCATTTGGCATGAGTGACCAAAGGTTTGGCTATAGTAGCCTGACCATGAATACTGACCCTGTGTAGCTCCTGACTAACAGTTTTGGCGGAAACAGGAGAGTCAAGGTTCTCATTTAATTCTTGTTGAGTTGAGCAGCTGTGGTTTTATGTTTCTTGGATACAATCCGGGGTAGGGCCCAGACATCCCTGTCAGACAGCTTCCTCGTGCATCCACAGTTACTCCTGCTGGATGTGGTCCGTCCTTCGTGGTGGTATGCAGACATTACCCTGGATACCGTGGCTCTCTCTACACCACAAAGGCTTGCTGTGCTGGTCACAGATGCACCAGCGAGACGCACACTGACAATTTGTCTTCTTTTGATCTCTGATATGTCTCCCATTATGTTGTGTGCATTGCAATATTTTATGCACAGCTGTGCTACTGTCCTGCTAATTCAACCGTCCGACTGGTCTTACTGTTGTAATGTGCAATCAGTGAATATTGGCCACCATGCTGCACATATATTGGCGTGACACATCAAATACCAGTTTGGCCAGTGTTTCAGTTTCATTGTCCAACTCCTGGTCGTGGTCAGTATATAGTGTGATTGTGTTCCTTCTGATCTCCCTTTGTGATGGACCTTCTCTGCCTCCTAGCCGCTGTTCAGCCGTCACCTGAGGGATCCTTTCATCATCCTGCACAGCGTGTCCTATGTGACGGGCGGCACCCTGTCCGTCGACGTGCTGCTGCTGCGCGTCCAGCCAGACCCGACCGACACCAAAGGGAGCGGATTCTCCGTCTCCCTGGAGTGGCTGACCTTAGCTGGGGAGAGCGGGAAGGGTGAGCGGTCGCCATGGAAGCGTTGGGCGTATGATATGGTGACCAGACCTAGAAGACTTTCTGTCCCTGTTCTGGTGACCCACTTCCTGAGGTCTTAGAAAGTGGCGTTAGGAGAAAGACCCATCGTAAGCTATGTTTGTTCTCCTGCATTCATTTCTTGCACATTAAAATGTGGCTTAATTTTGTGAACAATTAAATGAAAATGTTCGTAATTATAAAATATATGAACCTTAACATCAATTTCAGTGAAAATAATATAGCACACACTCTCCCGTCAAGGGGTCAGACTTGTGCAGGACTAAAATGGGCCACTAAAATGAACATGATTCTTCACTGCATGCACTGGAGAAGCTTTACCTGATGGAGCAGTGCTCACTGGATGCTGCCCAGGGTAGTGATCTGTCTGCATAAGTATCAAATCAAATTTATTTATATAAAGCAGGTTTAAAAACAACCAATGCCGTACAATCATAAAATGTGTGAAATATAACATGTTAACATTAATAGCTATCATAAAAAATAAGTTGATACATGCACCGTAGGTTCACACATACATAAAAGAGCCAGTGTTGAATCAGACTGCAATAAAACGAAAGCGAAGGAATGTTTCTCTCTAATCTTTGTTCAAAAGCCAGTGTGAAAAAAGTAAGTTTTCAATAACGATTGGACTGCAAAAAATGATTGTTTTGATAATCGAATAATCAAATAATAATGTGATCAGGTGATCAGCTAATCGACTAGTTGGGCCAAAAGTGCAAATGCTTTATTTAAAAAATATGAAAGTATTTTTTTATTTCACAGTTGTTATAAAAACATTATACAGTGTAGAGAATATATTTAAAGTTTTAATGGTTGTGCTTTATACCGTAGATTACAGAATTTTGATGGTATTTTCAAAAGCAATGATATTCCAGCATTTTAAAATCCTGGCGATAAAATTTGCTGAATGCCTGGCGAAGCCCCGACTAATCTTCTTGCCGAAATCTCATGATATCACATATACTATATTACTGTAATACCACCCAAGCCTAGTAACAAATTTAAAACAGTTCATAAAAGTTTACCCATTTCACTACACTGCTTATATTTGTGTTTGTTGGAATACGTCTGCCCTCTGCTGGTCTGGTAGAATATTGCTGTGTGCATGCTCCGACTGCCACCCTCTTGTGTTCATATCATATTTGTCCATGAACGCAAAATCCACACGCCCCAACCATTCATGGACCGTAAGGGCACATAGAAAAGTGAAGTATAACCTAAGCTTAACACCGCAACTAATCTAGGATAAAATGTCAGCTTTTTTATTACCAAGTATAATTGATGTTAACGATTAGTTTTTGCAGCCCTACACACAAATCTGACCTATTAGCAGATATGTAGGAATGAACCTCTGTATGTGTCCGTACATGCATACATATATATGCGTGCATGTGCATGTACATACATCACATACACCCACCCAAACATCAGACCTCCAGTACCAGGATGTAGAAACGCAAATCTATGAAGTCAGCTCGTGTGAAGTGACTCGTCCATGAGTGATATGCACATACTATACAGGCCGTTCCATTCAGAAGCCTGATCCCACTCAGGCCTGATTCTTAAAGCTGGTGGGTAAAGTCACGGGTCTGGCTGCACCAGGGGACCGTTTAAGATTAGAAGCCACCTTCACTCCATCTGCCCGGGGAGGGTCATCCACTCTAATTGCTGGAAGCGGTTCTGTGCTCTGTCACTGAGCCCGGCAAACCCAGTGAGCACTCTCTTAATTTGCTCAAAGGCTGTATTTTTCCTCAGCGGCTTGCACTCTTTGCTTATATCATTTTTTTTTCTTTTTTCTTTTCTTTTTTTGCGGAGGCTGTAATAATTTCTGGTCAATAGACAGTTATTTCTAATTTTGAGTATATATGTGTGCTATATCACACTAAATTCCAAATGACTTAATTTTTCGAAGTCCCATAGCAATGTTGTAATTTTAAAGGGAGCGTGACAACACTACTGTGACTGCATTTTGCCCCATGTGTAGAAGACTAATGAGTTTAATGATTTACAGGAACTGATTCTTCAGTACAGAAAGACTGAATTAGTATTTTTTAATGAAGGGTAAAAATGTGTCATGCATCTTTAAATTTGATGTATCTCCATATGATTTGCTTGTTAGAATTATTCATGTAATGGTCCCATACTTATTTATTTTTTTGTTACAATTTGCTTCATAACCCTGTATATATTTGAATGTTATTTTGGCTATAGCCCCAGTAAGTCCTTGATTATTTCCTTGTCAACAGTTATATTTAGACTTTCACAGTGCATGAATATTCCTGTGAAAACGGTCAACATTTTTCAAGCTTGGGTTTAAGTTTTTAAGATATTCTTTTGTGCATAAATACAGATAGAATTGAGAGGGCACACGGGGAGAAAAGTTACAGGGCACAAAGAGCATACAAAGCAAAAGAAGGAAGAGTACATGTAGTTAATACTATAGAAAATGATAAAAAATATTACTTTAGGTGTGTAATGAGGACCCTGTATTCAGTTCATTACTAGGAAACCATCTACAAACTTCCCTTTGAGAAAGAAATGTACTCACTCTATTCTAAAACAATAAAAACATGTAAGGTTTATTCCTGGAGACGTTTGGAATGTCAACAAAAAGCAGAACTTTATTGACAATTGACAGGGATGTCTGGGTGTTTAAAGAAACCCCTCTCTTAGGCTGTGAAGATTCAGGCAGTTGAGGTCCCATGACTGACCTGTGCCCCCCCTTCAGGACAGGAGAGGGTGTACGAGGTGCGGAGGAGCCGGATGCTGCACGGGAAGTCGGTGCCCCACTACGCGGCCGTGGAACCGCGAGGGCGTGGCCTGATGCTCGCCTCAGAGAAGCCTTTCAGGTTCACGCACGTGGACGGCCAGCCGCTGGAGGACCCTGTGCCAGAGGCCATGGAGGTGGAGGAGAAAGCCGGTCAGTGAGCTGTCCAGGTCTAAGTCACCTAGACTAGTTCTGTTAACCTTTGCTTCAACTGGTTATAAGCATCGTGCATTATTGAACTGCTATTCTGAGGCAGGGTTCTTCAACTCTGGACCTCAATTCCAAATCCAGGCCGTGTTTTCAGTTCTCCCATGTAGTTGTTTAATAATTACTGATTCTGGTTGGTTTAATAATTACTGATTCTGGTTGGTCAGAGGCTTCACACCTGACTGACAGGTAAAGGAAGGCTGGAAAACCAACAGTGCTCGGACCTCGAGGACCGTGAGTTTAATAACCCTGGTCTAAGGTGTATTTTTTTTTAAAGGTTGGTATATAGAATCTCTGAGGAAGAGAAGGAGGAGCAAGAATAGTTTGTGTGCGTTTTATATATATAATTTATCCAACTTGCCATTCTTAAGGGCTTCTATGAAGAAATTCTTCCATAAAATATGTCAGCTTGCCAGGTCTTAAGGTTCATAGATAATCACGTCGTCTGGAAAGAGACACTTCACGTCGTATTGTTGAGAAACCAGCCATCCACTTATTCTTAACAGGTTTGTCTTGGAGCCGTCGCAGGTCAGCGTGCTCCTGTGTTTTGTATCTATGACATGTCCCTTCACAAAGTGCATACACAGTGAAACGGGTACTTCACAAATCTCTGCACATTGCCGCTTAACAGAAAGCACTGGTTTTAATTAATCTGGTGATGTCATACAATGAAGACTGTGATTGGTTAAAGAAGTGAAACACAAGCCCCTCCCTCGTTGGTCGCGCAATGCTTGAACTCGATGAAAATCAGGACATGCGTGCTGGCCTGCCTCGCCCCTCAGAGCAGCGTGACGCCTCCGTCGGTCCTGCAAGCTCACCTTTCTGACTAGCAAGTCTGCTGGGGGCCAAAATATAACTAATAAGACTTCTGTGAACCAGTAAGACTCCTTCTGCGGCGGAAGAGCACTGGTGCCCGGTGTAGCCCAGCATACAACCCCGCTAGCGCACTTCCATTAGCGCCGCAGTGTCATTAACGTCGGACTTGGGGGTGGCCGTTCGTTATTCTGCTAGAAAACAACTATGTTTGCGAGATCACAGCAAGCGGCTGTCATGGCGATTGCAGCTGCAGGTGTGTGCGTGCCCTGGCAGCGGAGCAGCCCTCCGCCACTTCCCCACATGCCTGGCCGCTCGCGTCCATCCATCCGCAGATCCTTAAGGGGAAAGTGCAGCTCCAGCTGCAGGGATAAATGAATCCGCCGCTGCGCCTTGTCACTTTGCGGTTTGCTGACATTTACATCTGCAGG